CTGTGATAGTATAGATGCAGAGTTGCACCGATACTGCGCGGTGTGCGCGGTACCGCGGGGTGCGAGCGCGGCAGATGTGTCGCCGGTTGTGATTGTCTTGCCCCGATGATTGATGATCTTTCGCGCCGTCTACCGCATAGGGCTGCACGACCACGAATTTTGAACTACAATTATTTTATTCTGCAAATATTTTTAACTTTAATTCTCATGTTAGATAACCAAAATTGTTACGTTTTCAATAACAGGGTAGATGCCTAATTTTTATTTTAATGTCCGTCTGGTAGATTATTTTAAATCATTTAAACACGTATTTTTTATTTTCTTACGGAAACGAATACTTTCCACGATATATTGATTTGAAATGTCACGTGACGTCACTGCTACGTACATTTTATACGTAAAAATGACGTTTTAGCCCCCACTCCTAAACTTTGATTCGTTTTATCTTAGTATTGTTTTATTATACGACAAAATAAAAAAATACGTGTCTAATATTTTTTAATCACCTAACTTACGGACTAATAGATTTTTAATTTTCATACAAAGTCATCATCCCAATTGTAGATTAAGTTATAAGTATTACCGTTATATTAAAAAATAATGCAACTATTAAACTTTTTTCATATTTATTTATTGATTATAAGGGTTTTTTATTTTACATTTTAAATAACTATGTTTGATATGGGTAATTCAAATTCAAATATCTTTATTGCTTACTTACACAGATTCATTATACGCATGTTAGCAATTTACTATGTATATCATAAAAAAGAAATCAAAATATTGATTTGTGTTAGACTGTCTAAACGTAATAATAAAAAAAAACCAACAATTAGTTGAAAGTGTTTCTATGGCAAGTTGTTTGTATTTCTAGATATACACTAAATTCCTAAAATACCTACTTTCTATTTGCAATACCAACAATACCCTATGTAATTATAAAAAACGAGTTATTAACTTTAAATCTTTATTCTTAACACGTACACAACACCACAAAAAGAAATAAGAGAACAATGCCATGTAAATGTAGTAAACAAAATAATTAGTGGACTATTGCTATTCAAAGATAAACTATCCAAACACCATTTACTCACTAAGAAGTATGTAAACATATTTTGACAATAGAGATTATCCCCTTCGTTCTTTGTTGCGGTGATTGACAAGTCATATCTCCATCTCTTTCTAATCTATTGTTGTATTGAACTCCGCCTCCAATTTGTACCGGCTTACTGCACAAACTCCGACATTATAATAACAGTTATGTATGTACTTATAATGTTTAATTGTTTATAGAAGTAAGTTCAGCTTTAGTAATTGAAGTCATAAAACAAAAGAAGTTTATATATAACTAGCAACCCGCCCCGGCTTCGCACGGGTTCAATATTAATGTATTATACATATAAACCTTCCTTAAAAATCACTCTATCTAATAAAAACATAATCCGTTGCGTAGTTTTATAGATCTAAGCATACATAGGGACATAGACACGGCAGATAGCAACTTTGTTTTATACTGTAGTGATGAAGTGATGACGATAGTGATATTTTTAAGAGTCATGAAATTTTTTTAACATATAATTTAATTATACATATGTATGATGTATATATAGTAAGAAATACAAAGAAAGATGTAATATTTTATTTGTAAAATAATTAATATAAATTAAATAAGAACGATGACGCGCGACAACCCTGGCACCCTATTCAACTCACGTTTATTCAATATAAGCAAACTCAGACATAGGCCACAGCAAAAGTACTTTGGCGAAATATTCTACATTCGTCAAGCGTTGTCATAGTATAAAGAACAAAGTAGGTTATCTTCATACAAATGCTCCGCGCGCGGCTTATATGTGTGCGCCATAGTATCTATGCGTCGACGCACGCACACTTTAACAAAATCTCGACCCGTTTCTCAGTGCGCCAGGCAGGGCTGACACTGTACGAGGTTCGCGCGCGCTTCACGGCTTTTCGGCACTGTTCAATGAAATAAAAAATGTCTGATAATCGTAGAAGAACGTATTGCTGTGTGTTTGGGTTTCTTAATAATTAATCGATTCCAGAACTGTCTCTGTTCAGATTAGGTACCTATTGAACAGGAAAGGTAAGCTAGTCACTTTTTCTAGCATAATATAATTTGTAGGTACTTGATGATGAGATACCTACTTACTTATTCTTACTCTTATCATTCTTCATAGTTTCTACTCAACCAGAAATGTAATTACCTACTATACTTAAATATTATAAGAAAATGTGGTATTGTATTGTTTATTTCACAGTTTATCTGATTTGTTAAGAGCGTAGCCGAGTCGCATTTTTCCATATAAATGTATTCTCAAATTTACTTTCTGAATACTATGTATAGAGCTAAAGTTTATTTTAAGAAGTTAATAATCTTTTTATAAGCTTTTAATTTTTACTAAATTTATAAATTGATAAAATATTCAATCATAATATGCTTTTCATTTCATAAATTTAGATCAAGTGCTGCTTGTTCGAAAATATTAACTAAAAGTAAAAGTGACAACCCTGGGGATCAACGCAAGAGTAGGCTAATAACTCGGCGGGCGGCCTTAGATAACCTACTGTGTTCTTTATACTATGGCGTTGTCGTGATCTGAAGTAGGTAATGTATGTATACCTATTTATAAATAGGTAGGTAAATAATAAGTAGTCAACATAATAAGTAATTTTACTGTATTTTTGTTGTAAACATCATACACTGGACCTTTTACTGGGCACACAATAATAGGGGAATTTTAATTTTGGAATGTTTTTTGTTAACGTTGGCCCACACCTAGGATTTCCTTCTGTATCGTGGGTGCGTTTACAAACATACAATTTCACATATACCTAGACCCGAAACAACAATTTTTTTGCCGGTCCTTCGGGGTTCACTGGCCCTGAGCACAGGCCCTGAGTGCCTTTATGGTAAAAGCGGTACTGAATATCATTGTAAGTAGTTACAAATGTACAATGTAAATAATTTAGATACAGTCTCTTTTTGTGCCTTTAGACTTAATCTGTCTCCCGTAATAATTCATCGAGGGAAGTGAAAACTATCGTTTTTTTCTACTCCTCCTCTTGTAATATCTTCTAATTCACTTCGTTACGGGAACCAAGATAGTTATTTATGTCATTAAGACGCGCCGGACTTCAGTTTTCCGGTGTTTTCATGGTTACGGGAACTTGTGGCGGGCTTGTAGCATAACAAAATTCAAACATTTGTCTTTAATATTGTAATGTTACGTATTTTAAAGTCCGTTTTCACCAACCTCTATATTTAAACTAATAGATGACATTTAACGATATATTGGTTCTAACAAAACTATAAATGACACCTAACAATACAAGTAAGGGGTTAGTTTGTCGCGGAGAACCTAACGGGTTACCGGGGCTCCGGCTCGAAGCGCAGGAGAAGGAACAGGGTGGTTTTTAGTCAGTAAGAGTCTGACACTCCCTTCCGCCTCACCTAGGCGGGAGCAGTCATTCGATGATTTTCCCCGCTTAAAAAAGGGGTTAGTTTCAGTGCTACGTCACGTTAAGTAACTTTTTTAAGAGATGGCAAACGCAACCACCATCATCACCAGAGCCCAATAGATTTTTCAAATATTAAATATTAAGTGTGAATAAAAGAAGCATACATATATATAGTTTCGCTTATTTATGATAATAAAACACTATTTTACTGATTCACCCTTATTTTTATTGATTAATTATCTGTAGTCAATTCACGAAATTGTTTTCCGATTGTTATATCTGACACATTATCTTGCTTATTTGTACACACGGCCACACATCAATCTATAGGTACAAAACCAGTTTACCCTGGTGTCGCGTCACATCATCTTTCCGCACATTTAACGTTCAGTTTATTCTGGTTATGTAAAGCTCGATGTGTAGCCATGTGTACATTCCTCAGGTCTTCAGAGGTTATATTAACAAAGCTGCTGACTACGCCATCTGTATATTTACCAAGATGTTATTTCATTTGCCACAAAGGTTACTTAATAGCAACGCCAACGCCAGCACGTAACATCTCTTCATCTACAGAATAAAAGCGGTTTGAAACATGTTATATGAAGTCCCGTATGATTTTATTAAAACAAATACGTCACTGAATCCTTTTAAAGTTAGTGGGTCAGTAACACTGGCAGTTTATTTGAAAACAAATTAAAAGTTGTATGGATATAGCGTTTACTGACATCAACTACTGAACTCCTCTCCTCTCTGATTCCGACCGAACGTCTCCGTGGTGTTTATGTCCGCTTAAAGCCTTAGTTTCTAGTTAAGAGGATCGATACTAGATGGCGTCTTTCTCAATTTACAATATTATTTCCAGTAACATGATAATAAATCGTTTCATTCTGAGTAAACCTTAATATACAAAAACTGAATATATAAAACTTAAAAGCATATATGTATGTATTATTAAAAAATTAAATCAAAATTAAATAATTTGCCTGACTACTACAACTACTATTTTACTTAATGAATGAACTAGGCATTTGTGTTATTATTTTCCTTGCGTTCTCCAATAATTTACTTAAACAAATAACTTGAACAACAATAGAAACTTTAGTTCTAACTAAAAATGATATATTTTTTTATGGCATAAGCCGGTAACCCAGGCAGACGAATCACCTGATGGTAAACAATCGGCGACGCCTATGGACATCCGGGACACCAGAGGCGTTACAAGTGCGTTACCGGCCTTTTGGGGATTGGGAGTTTGAGGACCGTTGGGGATTCAGGGATTGTGGATATTGGGGAATGGAAGGGTAATTGGGCCTTCGGGAACCTCACTCACACGACGAAACACAACGCAAGCGTTGCTTCACGTCGGTTTTTTACGAGGCCGTGGTATCAATCCGGTCGAGTCGGCCCATTCCTACCGAAGCATGGCTCTCCCACACTTATTTTTTATAAAGTATTCATACAAGATGATTGGTAAAAAGTGAAATGTAAAAAGTGTTGTACACAGTTTTTATTCAACAAAATTAATAATAATTATTGATATCCACATCTTTAAAAAATGTATCACAAGGCAAGTCCATGAGGTCAGTGGGAATGTGTTGAACCGGCTCTTCTACTGCATGCAGTCTTCTTTCCATTACGGGAAGATCTTCCACTTCATCTGGGTAATGTTGTTTCGGGAAACTGACAGATGGCGCCGTATCATCGTACAAAAATGGTGAGTGTATGTGAGAAATTACATTTTTACTGGATTGCATCTCTTCCTCGGTGGTGGCAGCTACATCTGTATGCCTTGTCTTATAATATCGTTCAAGTAGTAACAAGTTTTTTATAATTTCTTCCCGTGTAGACCCCAATGAAGTAAATTTTTGAGAATCTATTGAAGGAGTAACAGGTTGCGTCTGAGGTAGAACATCTACGTCACGGTGGTGTGGCGATTCCTGTATATTTCTCGGAGAAACAATAAGTCGATTATGGTATAAAGAATAGTTGTTCTGTCCCGACGTATAATTTTGTGTTAACGGTGCAATTTCCATTGGATAGGTTTGAGCTATGCGCTGGTAGTCAAGTGTCGGTTGTTGAAATTCTCGATAAACCTCTTGAGACAATTGTTGAGCCTCCACAATCGCCTTTTTTTCTCTCATTCGTCGATTTTGGAACCACACAGTAATTGTGTGTTCTTTGAGTTGTAGTCTGTCAGCCAACTGCTTGCGTCGAGTTTCGCTGACGTAGCGGAAGTTTGAATATTCCGACTCCAGCTCGTTCAGTTGCCACGTAGCAAATCTGATCCTCACTCTCTTCGGGTACCGGTGCGTAACTGTTGCGGGCTGAGATTGAGCCCGGCTATCCACCTGCATACCGAGCCAAGTGTGGTAGTCCAGAAGCCGATGCGGTCGTCCTTGGGCTTGTGTAGTATGTACTACAACTGGTGCAGTGCCCTGTTGTAGCAGTTCTTGTAGTTGGTGATCCATTTTATAATGAATGGGAAATGGAGACTTATGTAAAAAGTAATGCACTCTGTGAAAGTACAGGTAACTGTGACATCAGCCAGGATTCCACTCTATTTATATGGTCATGTTTGCAACCCTTGATTGATAGTGTAATTAAGGAACAGGACCAATAGGTGATTAAGTGATTTGCAAATCAAAGTTATCTTTCAATAGAATCGTTATCTTTTTCTTTGGATTACCACATACCTAATTAAACTGTCAAACACCGCGAGGACACCGGTGACCGCAACCTATTGTTCTTTAATCGTGTCTATAATGACGGTACTCAAAGGAATGCCACATGACATTGCCCGCCTTATGTACCTTATTTTTGTGTGCATTGAAGAGTTAATAAATAAATAATTATCCACCTTCACTTTGAAATTATTTAATAAAAAATATCGGCAGAGTCAGAGCTCCAAAGATCGGTACGTAAACAAACCTATACCTCTATGTTCATTAAACGATAGCTTTCTTAGGTGTTTGTCGATCGAACAAATGACTACCCATAATCAATAGACATACCCATCAATCTTATCATCATGCCATCATTTCAAATCAAGATGATTATTGACTCTGTATGTCTTTATCAGTAAATCTCAAGCCAGGGGGTGTGGAACTGTTTGTATGGGTACAGGTCCACAAATTTGTAGCGAGTTTTTTTACATTTTTCGAGTACCTTAGTACCGAAGTTTGTATTTAGTATTTTAATAAGAAACTTCTGATAGCCAAAGATACATAGGTATCCTAAGAAACCTTGATATATACGACACGACGTTCTGCGTGCTGACAAATGTCGTGGTGGCCCGGAGGTTTAAGACGCCCACTTCTCATGCATGAGGGTGCGGGTTCGAAACCTACCAACGGCAAGTACCAATGTGACTTTTTCCGAGTTATATGTACTTTATAAGATTATTTAGACACCACTGACAAACGGTGAAGGAAAAACATCGTGAGGAAACCTGGACTTATAATTTCTAATTATAAGTTTGAAATCGCCAACCCACATTGAGCAAGCGTGGTGATTAATGCTCTAACCTTCTCCGTGTGAGAAGAGGCTTTGCTCAGCAGTGGGCATTTATAGGCTGTTGATGATGAAAGCAGAAACATATATATTAATATTTGTTTTGGTTTTAAAATCAATAATATACCTATCACTACTAGTTTCTGGCGAGTTACAGTGATAGAAAGCATGCTACTTGCTATCCCGGTAACTCACCTGTATTGTTATTCTAGACTTTCACTTATTAACTGTCTTTCGTGCGTCACTGCAGGGGTGCCCACTGAAAATCAGCGCTGGGTGACTTGTATGCCTATTGCCTGGCTTACTCTTAGTGGGTGACCCTTCAAGCATACGCGTGTTGTCAGGGTCTCTCTTCTAATTCTCCTGTTTTAATTTTTTTACTTAATGTTTTTCTTACTTCCACTGTCACACCTTTATTGTTTTTTCTTATATTTTATTTATGCAGCATCGTGCCTGGTGCTGAATAAATGTTTTTTTCTTTCTTACTTATTAAGGCGCTTTGATTCCACGCTCAAGCTGCTGCATCATTTTTTTATCTTTCAATGACTTCTCGAGCCTTGGGTGAGATGAGAGCGCTGCTACAGGCTACTCGAGGCCGCGGTGCCGGCCCAGCACGCCCTCTGTCGGGATTCCCTTGCATTTTCCTCTATCTATAGCGGCGGCGGCACGCGCGACACAGTTGGCTCGTTAGACTCGTTCGCCAGCGGCTGCGTAGGTGTTAGATTCGAATCCCGGGTTGACACAAAAAACAGTGTTACATTCAGACTCTTAGTGACTAAAAACCACTCCGTTCCTACTCCTGCTCTTAGAGCCAGAGCGGCAGTAACCCGTTAACTTCCGTGGCTCCATAAAAGTCCTGCACCGTGTGATCTAAAAGTTATAATCTGTCACATTCATTCAACTGGCTTTTTCCAATTTACTTACCTATATTGAGTCTTAACTATATTTGATGAATTTCAATATTATACGTAGAACGATTGCTATCATCGGTCCTCCAAAGCATACGTTCTCATATTAAGAGATAAGTTAAGAATTCTGGAATTACAAATAATTAAATGTAATGAATGCAATAAAAGTCTGGCACTCACTCTCGCGTCCCCCAGACAAGAGGAGATATTATTTGATGATTGTCCGCCCTTAAAAAATACCACACGGTAACAATATGTATTTGTGAATATTTACCAGTACGTGGGTAAACAATTTCATTAGCAATTTTTATTACCTGAAGTATTTTGGAATTAGATTATTAAAAAGACAAAGGAAGTCATTAAAAATGAATAATTTATTAACGAAATGTAATTAGTAATTACAGATTCACAATAATTTGTTTGGAATACATGGGAATTTAGACCTCACAAATATGGTGTCATTTTTCTATACACTATAGATTTTTTAAGTAAACGAATAAAATTCCTGCTTCACAAATTCATTATATTTTTAACATATCCAGCGTTTTAAAAAAAAAAAAAATTTATTAACTTATATTCCATTTCATTCAAAATGCCATTCATTATTGTGGTCTCCTTTTCTGCTAATGACAACTAAAAGCATTTGGCAACAAAATTATATAAATAATCCTTAAAGGTATTAACTTCGATTTACTAATCACTAAATTGTTATTACTGGTTTACAAATTACATTTGACTTAAAGATCATGATTATATAAATTGGAGCACAATCCTGTCATACGTTATAGGTGACTGTGCTTTCATAGATCGCGTTTCTCCATAATTCTTCAATGTACAAGGCTACAACATGAAGACATGAATCCACCAAACCAACCACCAGCGCCTCATAGTGCGAGTAACGGTTTTGATACATCGATAAACCCAACACCTCCAACGGTAATGTAATAGTTTTATTTTTACAATTTTTTATTTCTTTTTTTACCTTCTCTTAATGTTATGTAACGGTCTCTGCTATAATTATTCTAATAGAAACCTCAGTTTTGTCAGTGTACTTTTAAAACTATATTTATGTACTTCTTTCCGCAGTTTTTGGACTCTGGGTTGCCACAACAGACCACTGCACCATTTACAGTGGCTGTCAATTCAGTCCAAGTACAACCAAGACAACCCCACAGTGGCTTGATCGACTACCGGACTTGGCTGAATACACAACCTACACAAGTAGTTCATCGGCCAAATGTTCTACCCGTACCAACAAAGCCGAAACGGGTTAGAACCGGATTTACTACTCAACAACTGATTGTTCTAGAGAAACAGTACTCGAAGGTTCCGTACTTACCCCGATCTCAACGAATAGAGCTGGCAGAGACACTGCAGCTAACTGAACGCACCATCAAAATATGGTTTCAAAATCGACGCATGAAAGCAAAGAAGGAGAAACTTGAAGGTTCTGAAGACATTCTAGAGATGATGGTACCCTACCCTATCGAAGCCACAAATCCACCAATAAAACAAAATATTATATTGGAACAACGTCAGTATCCTGTTTCTGCTGTTCGTACAATAAGTAGTGATGGAACTATTACTTTAAATTCATCTTTGAAAGAACTTGTGCAGGATTTTAAGAATGACAATAATCAGCAACACCCAAACGTACAGTATAAACATCCATTTGCACCAACTATACAAATGCAATCCTCACAAAGTTTGGTATTAGAACAGCATAAGTATACTCCTTGGAGGAATGGGGATACTCAACCTGTTGTTCGTCAAGTGAATTTTCAAACAAGTATTGGTTTGATTTCATCTTCCCAAGGAATTGTTCAGGACTTACAGTTTAATAAACAGCAGCACCCAAACCTATTGTATAGATCAGCTGCAGCTACTGCACAGATGCAGGGTTCACAAAATTTCAATCCGGAATATCAGTATCCCTCATGGACAAATGGAGTTACTCAGAAAACGTATCATCCAGCGGTTACTAGTGAAACTATTACTTCAAAGTTTTCTTCACAAAATAATTTTCAGAACTTGCAACACGATAGACAGCAGTACTCGAGCGTACAGAACAGATATCCAGCTGTCGGAACAGCAGCACAGATGGAATTCTCACAAAATTTGATATCGGAACTATATCACCCACCTGGAATAATACAGAACGGTACTCGACCTGAGCTTTGTTCAGTAGATTCCGTTAAAACTGTTCCTTTGAAGGTTTTCGAAGATTTTTATAAAAAAACTTTGCTTGATAAACAAAACTCGGTTAAACAGTATGGACAACCAGTTATATCAAATGAACAGTCCTCGCCAAATTCCATATCAGAATATGGGGATCCCTTACCCACTGTTCATCTCGAGTTTTCTGAAGAAAGTTCCCGTTCTTCCATAGAAAACATTTTACAGGACCTGTTACGTTCTGAACAGCAGTATTTGGAGACAAAGCAAAGGGAAACTAAACAGATGCAGGCTTTACATAATTTTATAACGGGGCAATATTCCTCAAGTATAAATGAGGCCACTCAGCATAGTGTTCATGCTTCGAAACAATTTCATCTCTTTCAAACTGAAAGTCTTCTTTTAGCTTCGGATTTACCCAGCGACTTGTTGGACGTAACACCAATGGTAATTGAAGATATTGACATAAACTTATACTTACTATAATGGTCTTAGATAAGAAATACTGGAGGTCAGATTACCCTCCCCTCCCTCTCCCAATCTCTCTGATCCCTGAATCCCCAACAATCCTAAAATTCCTAATTCCTGAAAAGCCGGTTACGCACTTGTAACACCTCTGATGTTCCGGGTGTCCATGGGCAATGCCGATTGTTTACCATCAGGTGATCCGTCGGCTTGTTTACAGGCTTATCACATAGTATTAAGCTGAACTAAAGCCTTTTGCGCTGCGACGCACAATGGGCATTTTGTATGTATGTACCTGTATTCTTGTTGTGTGTCGTGGCGTAATAAATGGATTTTCTTAAAAAAAATAAATGTTGTGTCATAAATTGTTTTGATATTAATAACTAGCGGCATTCCCGCCCAAGTTCCTGAGATAAATACGACCCCATTTGTTATTTCAGGCTATTTAATCTATCTCTTTACCTAACGCAAAACCGTCCGGTACATTTTCTATGGAGAGTAACAAACAAAATAGAAAACAATGCTTTGAGAAAATACGTACGTTTTTACTTATTTCTAATTTCCACTTAATTAAACCTTAATCAGCAGCGATCTGCTAATACTACTGGATTATAAACATTGCTACCTTGAATTTATCAACAAAACGAGTTCTATACTAGCTTCTGCAAACAGCTACGCCCGTGTTATTGCTTGTGTTATTTCTGACTATAATCTAGAGGTATGACTGTTCCAAATTCCATACAAATGTGTCTAGTACTTCTTTCTTGCAACAGTCACAAACATACATCTATACATCCGTACCAACTTACACATTTATAGTTTTAGTAGAAAGTAGGATTATACAGCAATTTCACAAGATTTGATTGCGGAGTTTTAAAGTAATATCAATATGTGGAAAAATCGTTTCAAATTGAATAAACTTACTCTTTAAGATATTTGTAACTTGTAAGTAGTACTATTACTACTGCGTCCTAATATCACGTAACGTAGTAATGAGCTACAGAAGAAACAATATAAAATATTGTCTTTAATTTTGACTGCACGGTTAGTGCGGTGGCTGGGCAACCGACTGCCGTGCAACGTGTCGCGGGTTCGATTCCCGCACGGGACAACACTTTGTGTGATCCACAAATTGTTGTTTCGGGTCTGGGTGTCATTGTGTATGTGAACTTGTATGTTTGTAAACGCACCCACGACACAGGAGAAAATCCTAGTGTGGGGCAACGTTTTTTTAAAAAAAAAAAAAAAAAAAAATTAATAACCTTAAGTGATACGTTTCTGCCTAACGTGGACTGACTACCACTGAAGAACAAAAGTAAATTTTCATTTTCATTTCAAAACAAAAATGTAATAAATTGCAAAATAATAATAATAATACCTCTAAAATATTCACAAACAACAAGATTTATCGAAAACTGCCTTTGATTTGCTAATCACTTCGTAACCTTTAACCTGTTCCCTAATTACACTATCATTAAGGGTTGCGAATATAAGTAGAGCACAATCCTGAGTGGCATCACAATGAACTGTACTTTCACAGAACACGTTACTCTCGTCCAGTGTATTTCCTTCCCAGTCAATATTTATCACGAAATGAACCCGCCAAATGGACTATCAGCGTTTCATGATGCAAACAATGGTTTCGCATCACCGGTGTCGGCAGATCGAATGGTAATATAATCACTTTTTATTTTAATTTTTACTTTAATTTATTTCATACGACCTTTGATTAAAAGTCAAATCGTAACAAACGTAGTTGCTGTTTGATATGATATGATGATGATTCAATGATGATGATGATGATGAAATCTATATATATCTAGTATGATGTTTCCTCATAGAACCTAGTTGGAAAGTAATGGTTTGTTATGGATTTATATATTTTTTTTATTGTCCACAGTTTTCACAATGGTTGCCACATCAGAGTGCAGCTGTGTCAGTCCCAGTGACTGCGCCAAATCAGCACATCTGGCACAACGGACAGCCGACCGGATGGACAGCAGTGAGACCCCAGGGTCTGCCAGCCACGTATAGGAAGCCTAAACGCGTAAGAACGGCGTTTACAACGGATCAACTGTTGGCGCTAGAACATGAGTTTAAGTTGACTCCTTTTTTGGCTCGACCTAGACGTTTGCAGTTAGCAGACGTGTTGCAACTAAATGAGAGAACCATCAAAATTTGGTTTCAAAATCGGCGAATGAAAGAAAAGAAAGACAGGGCAGAGAGCCAAAGCTCGTCTGGTTATAGTTCTGAAAATAATGAGGGGCCAATAATGCACTACCCGGGCATGGCCCCGAGTTACCCAGAAGTAACTACGCCGATGGCTCCAAATTTAATGCCACAACAACCTCAAAATTCCCAGTGCATGTATGGTTCTCAGCCCGGTATTCCTCCGAGCAATATCCCGGAACAACCCTACCAAGCCGCAGTCCAAGCTCCTGCCCGAATAGAACCACTTCTTCCACTACCGGAGCTGCCAGCTCCAATTGTTCCCAGTGAGATGAACAACTTTCAATGGCCTGATGAGGCTGAAGATCAACATATATTAACTCCGTTGTAATTTTATTTAATTTAGCTTATAAATAAATGTTGTATTCTAGAAGCATGTTATGTTGTATTATTTGTAAAATAACAATAAATAAATATGTAAGAGATAACGTTGTGTCAACTTTTATTATTATTCCTAAACATTCAAAAAATAAAGATAAAATAGAAATTATTATCAAAGTTTAACAAACTAAGTGATTAGTGTATATTCACGACTGTTCAAATAGGTACTTACTATTTAGAAGTGTTAGTATTCACAATTACACTTCTAAACAGTACCTATTGGAACTTAATAGGTTAACTATAATGTTTTAAAATATTACAGTTAAACATCTTGATATTGTTTGTAGGGTAGTAGTACTAGACGGATTTGTATGTATCTTAATCCTTTATATAATTTACATATATCACTGAAATGAATAATCATAATCATGATCACAATAATTTATTTATTTGTAACATAGGTGGTATTACATAGAAGTTGTTAAGTTAAAAGCAGGTTTAGTAACACTATCGTGTTCATAAGTTTTTCTTTGGTTCGATCATACATTGGTTAACAAAAAAAAATAAACATCTAAACATACATAGTTCCGCATCCATTTTTTAAAGTCGATAAAAACAGTTATCAATGTTTTTAAACCAAGTGTTTCTTGTTCTTGATCTGCATTAAACTCCTGTTATGCATTTGAATTAAAAATAATAAAATAGTGCATTAAAATAAATATAATATTGTCAGCTCTGGAACTGAATCCCAAAACGTAAATAACAAAAATACCATAAAAATGTAGTAAACAAAGTGATTAGTGTTAACTTTAAAATTCACAACAACCAATTAAAATATTACTAATCCACGTACAGCGTATACATTAGAAAAGTACATCATGTATAATAAAAAAAGTGAGATAAGTATAATCTTACACATTAGATATAAATAGTGTCTTGAATTTAAAAACATTCCTTTAAAAATGTCTACAAATACTGAGCTGCACCTAATTTTCGATGAAAAATTGGAAATAAGTTATTAAAATTGAGGAAAAATTCACTAATTCATAATGTCCACAATAAGTAACGCTACGTTCTGCGTGAGCGATCTAGAAGCGAATGCGAAGCGTTCCATTTAATAGGTCGAAACTTATTGAAGTGTTCTACGTGACAAAACGCATGTGGGATGAGTTTTATATTTTCGCGCGAATTGTTATAATTTGGATGGGGTTACGTGTTATATTTTTAATTGGTTAGATTGTCGGAAACAAAATCGAAGCGAAACGATTCGCATGGACGTAGGACATAGCCGCCGGGTCACCGCTTCATAATTGCGTTTGCTTCTTGATCGCACACGCAGGACGTAGTGTAAAGATGTTATCAGTCACGTAAACCATTGAAAAATTCAAGTTCTATTGTTCTAACAACACTAATTGCTGGTTTAGCAATGCTTTAAGAATAATTGATTTTTATTGTTCTAAGAACTGTTTACGTGAGTCGTATAGGAATTATTAATATTTGGTTTTACGAAGTTCCTGATTCTGAATACGATTATACGTACAACTTATGCAAAAATGTCGTGGTGGCCCGGAGATTAAGGCGCCTGCTTCTCATGGATGAAAGTGTGAGTTCCATATCTGGCAATTACCTAATGATAAGTTATCTGACTTGTACGCAACTCTCCCAAACTCACTGCCACCGCTATTATCTTTCCAATGGTACCTTGGTCAACTGATCAACTACCAGTCGGCGCTCGATGCTTGATCAAGATAGGATTTCATTATATTTCCTTCCTTACTCATTCTTTCAATGTTATCGAGCCACAGAATCTGTGTGCTTTCTCTTCCCCAATGATGTTAGAAAAAAAATCAAATCTGTTATTTCAGCATATTTTAAGATATGCCATCGCGTCGGGTTTCCACATAGGGCCCAAGATATTGATTACGATAAAAAAGCAGTCAATCTAAAATATTATTATAAAACCTCGTCATTACATTTTATAATAAGAAAATACATAAGTACTAAGTATAATAATTGAAAAGAAACTTACGAACAGCGATTTTCAAGGAGAGGGACTACCTACTTAATTGATGATATAAACTGATGACTGGTAATTGTTAATAATGACAATGATCTAGTATAAAAGTATGTGCAAGATATGAATTCACTCATTCCTATAGTATCGGCAGCGAAACGAAATGTTAGAAAACCTCAGAGCTACCTATTATAGTAGCCTAAAGAAAGAGGAGGTTACCGACATACGACATACCTATTATTTATTTTGAGACGTTGTAGGTACTTTAAAATACAACTATGACACTGAAAAATTAACTAAAATTATTGGAACTCAATAAAATATTTCATATTACGAAATAATAATTAACACATGAAATAACAATGAAATCTATTTTAAACTGTCAAACACCAAGCGGTTATCGGTGACCGCAACCTATTGTTCTTTAATTGTTAATATGGATTTGAATGTGCTAATCGCTTATCTTTGACCTGTTCCCTAATTACACTATCATTAAGGGTTGCGAATATAAGTAGAGCACAATCCTGAGTGGCATCATAGTGAACTGTACTTTCACAGAACACGTTACTCTCGTCCAGTGTATTTCCTTACTAGTCAATATTTATCACGAGATGAACCCGCCAAATGGAACACTAGAGTTTCATAGCTCAACCAATGGTTTTGCTGCACCGGCCCCGACACATCCAACGGTAATATAACTTTTTGATATTATTATTTTAATTTTATCTTTAAGTGTAACAAAAGTAAAGTAACTTTAATTGACATGATTTTTATGATCCTCTAGTTGTTTTCATAGTGTCCAAAAAGTACCTGCTTTGGAACTTACATATATTATGTCTTTTTAATTTACTTATATATTTCTACATTTGTCCACAGTTTCCACATTGGATGCCGCATCAGAGTGCAGGTGAACCAGTCCCAGTGACTGCGCCAAATCCCCAGATTTGGCACTACGGCCAGCCAACCGGGTGGCCAATAGTGAGACGTCAGGGTCTCCCAGCCCCAAATAAGAAACCTAAACGTGTGAGAACCGCATTTACAACGAACCAACTGTTGGCACTTGAAAATGAATTTAACCAGTGCCGTTATCTGGCCCCGACACGACGTCTACAGCTGGCAAATATACTACACATCAACGAGCGTGCCATTAAAATATGGTTTCAGAACCGTCGTATGAAGCAAAAAAAGGATTTTTTAGAGAGCCAAGCCACTTCAGAAGAGAGTTCAGAAGATAGTCTGAGTCCAATAATGTACCACCAGGGCGTAATACCAAATTATCCAGAAGTACGAGTACCGACGACACCAAATCTAACCTCGGAACATCCTCAATATTCCCCGTACATGTATGAGCCTTATCCTCTGGGCAATGTCTCGGCACTACCTTGGCACCCAGATGTACAAGCTCCTACTCAACTTGGAGCAAGTTTGTCTTCAGCAGCAACTATTCCGACGGCACCAAATTTGATGGCACAACAACCTCGGTACTCCCCGTACACGTATGGTACTGATCCCAGTATTACTCCTCGCAGTATCGCAGCACAACGTTACCAGTCAGCAGTACAAGCCGCTCTTCAACTAGAAACAAGTCATCCTTTGCCAAATTTAATGTCAGAACACCATCAATATTGTCCCGACTTGTATGAGAATACTCATCCAATGTTTGCTCCGGGCAATATCCCAGCACCACCTCTCCAGCCAGAAGTACAAGTTCCACCCCAACGAGAAGCAAGCCTTTCTTTAACAGACCATACAGCTACAGATATTTCTAACGAACATGACAACTCTTCCTGGGATCCATTGGAATTTATAGACGATCTATTGTTATGATAAATTGTAAATTATTGTAACATTTAGGTATTTTTTAAATATATTTTGTATTCTTAAAGTATGATTTTAATTTGCTTACCTGTTAAGAATTAATTGTCACTAATGTCTTTGTTTTACTATTGGAAGTTTGGTATCATTTCATTAATAAAGAACAGAATAAGGTTACTCAAATCATATAAGTAATTTACAAAATCCCTAAGACCACATAAACAGGTTTGAACTTATAAATACACATAAGACAACATAACATCACGCCTTTTATCCCCGAAAGGGTAGGCAGAGGTGCACATTACGGCACTTAAGCCAATGTAACACCCACTTTTCACTATTCATGTTATGAGGCCCATGTATTAGGGGGTGAGCCTATTGCCATATACCGGGCACAATTCCAAACTCCGTGCTACCACTGAGATTTTTTTTAAATCCCCCCTTGCCCGGCAGTCGCACTTGCGACCACTCGGCCAACGAGGCTGTCATAAATAGTCTTATAAATACCTATACATGAGTAACATAAGTATACAGTACAAGAGTAACTTTAGATAAAAAAAATGAGGGAAACTAAAATCACTACTTTTGATCTACCTACATGATATAATTATGTGTTCCAAGAAAAATCTAGAGAGACGTCATCGTTATCGCATCAACTTATCAGTGCCATTGTCTCAATATTGCAGACATTTTATTGTTAACTTCAGAAGTTCTTAAAGTTATAAATTGGAATAATTGTAGGTAAATAAATAGTTTGTTGGATTCCGATGAGTTATATAAATAAATACCCGATTCTATATTAGATTACAGGTACCTACACCGTTAAATTTATATCGTTTTCGTCCCGCGGCAAAATAACTTGGCATAAGATACTGCTTACTCATGCATTTGATGCCTAAAGCATACAAAAATAAAGATGCCATTTTTTTAGTTTTAAAAAATATACATTTGCTTACACACTTTACACACTAGGCGTCGACGCAAAGTTATATAACTTATTCTCAAAGTACTTCTACGTCCAGACCGCACAGTCAGGAAAGTAATTATTCGGCAGAAGATACAAATGACAGCTACAGTGATTTGTTTCAATAATAAATACTTTCTTTTCGTAAACTTATATGATGCTTATAAAAAAGGCTATGTGATTATTAAATAAAGATAATTAGAAAAATACTCACACGAACGTTTTTCTTTAAATACTTGATAATCGCTAAACACACTTCAGGAATAATATACATAGATTTATACTTTGCTTAGTACTTGCATCAAATTTGAAGTTTGTGAATATCAAATCTATGCATGTTTTTGTCGTAGGTGTGGTGCGTGTTGGTATTTTAATGTGTTGTGTTAATTTATATTCCTGCATTAAATCTAATAACCGATTTGTTTTTAAGTCATCGGATAGAATATCGATATTGAAATCACCTCCTATAACAATATTTAATTTTGGGTATTTTATGTATACATATATTAGTACTTCCTTTAATTGTTTGTAAAAAGCTTCTTCTTCCCTTCTATTCCAGTACATAGTTATGAGTAGTAAATTTTCATTTGGTAATTCAGTTGCGCATATCTCCAACACATACTCTATTGACATACCTGTTATGTCTTTTCTTTGTATGGAGTTAATATGATCTCGGATTAATATACTAACTCCTCCGCCCGTTCGACTGTTGCGGCAGTAAGTGCTGCAAAATTGTATCCACTAAAATGTATTAGATCTAGCTTCTCTTGTGAAAGCCATGTCTCCGAGATACATATAGCTTTATATTATAAATTTTGAGTAATAAAAGATTCAAGTATTTCCTGTTTATTGTAAAGATTTTGCATGTTCTGAAATAGTACTTTAAATGTTGGGTCCCCGTTTACGAAATGTGTTGTAAATAAAAATTAAATACTTCAAATATGTGTCAGATTTTTTTTTATTGAATTTAAGTATGTTGTGTAGCATGTGATGCACTCGGATTAACTCTGTTCATTCAAGCACCTTGTGGTAAACGACATTCTTTGTTTTTTTGTTAGGCGCAAGAACAAATAAAACGGATGGATTACCGACACGTGAACATGCCACGTACGAGAAAAACATGCATTTTCCAAATTGAGGCCTCAAATAGTCAATGCTAGGCGGGTGTTTCTCAGACAAATTTTAACTTTCATTTAACAAATCATTATCTTCTTTTATTATTAAGCATCGCAGTAACGTATTAGCAGCTGTATTTTTATTGGATTGGTTGAGAGCGGTGACACGACTGAATTTCTCGAAACCAATTTTTGTGTTTTAATCAGCAAAATTGCTAATTTTCGGTTTAGGATAATGACATTTTTTGCGGTTTTTTGTAGAATCACCCAGGCCCTGTGATTTTCATGGCGAAAAAAATTGCAATGCCTTTAGCTTGCATTTAAAGTATGTTTGCATGTATATTGCTTGATAAGTATGTCTTTAAGTTAACATTTTTCGTAATGGCTGGCTGTAGGTTTTGCTACCAACTCCAATATAACAGTTTCGTGAACTCAGAGAGGTTTTGTGATCCGCCTGGGGGTCGCGACTCACAGGTTAAAACAACATGGAAAAAACAATAGTTACGTGACTTGATGAAAAAATCATGTTCTATTGTTATAAAATTGCTAATTACTGGTTGAGCAACGGGTACTTACACGCTCTTTTCTTTGTTTTCAGAGTTCTGCATTTCAAAACTTCTTTGACTGCCTATAGCGTGTTCACGGATGGAGCTGATGCGGATGCAGAGCCGCGGAGAACGTAAAAGGTTACCGGGGCTCCGGCTCGACGTGCAGGAGAAGAGACGGAGTGGTTTTTAGTTATTAAGAGTCTGACACTCCCTCCCGCCTCACCCAGGCGGGAGAAGGCATTCGATGATTTTTCCCCCTTAAAAAAAATGAAACCCTGTTTATTAGGGCCATTCATGAAACTCGTACAAGTACCTACGAGGTGGCAAATGTATTGATTCGTATGTGTTTAATATGAATTATCAAAGAAAACGCCACATATTTATTCATATTAAAATGACCGTGGTATGAATAAGGTTGAAAAACCCTGGTCTTTACTAAAAAATCCCTATTATATAGTATATTATAATTTTATAATTTGCATATATGCAAAATATATAATATTATAATTTGCAAGGGCAAATTATTATTTACCAGGGGGTTGTGGCCATAAATGCCCATAATTGATTAACTGATTGAGTGACAAGAAAAAAAAATGTTTTTTTTGAAAAACAAAATTTATTATTTAATATTTTTAATAATGCGGTGCCAGTCGGTTAACAATAATTCATCTTCGGTTAGTTTTGGTAGGAAGTTGTCAGTATCACTGGAAGCATCCGGTGAAAGCACTTCTGGAGAATTTGGTATTTCTGGCTGATGAGGTGGTTTCTCGAAATGGTCTAAAGAAGCAATGGCCAGATCGTCATCATACATACATTTGGAACAGTCACACTGTTTTGATTCGAAATTTTCTGATCCCGACTTCTTCAATTCATCAAGCATCGCTTTTTGGCAGAAATCTTCAAAATCTTTTAAAGGGACCGTTTTTACCGAATTCAATGAAGAAAGATCAAGTTCAGTATTTCTCTGAACGTTCACGTGGGATGGTTCTGATAGCAAATTTTGTGGGGGTTGCACCTGTACATCTGTTGCGGTAGCTGGATACCTGTACTGTACACTCGAGTGTTGCTGTTCACTGGGCTGCAAGTTTTGAATATTATTTTGCGAATAAAGAGATTCTTCACAATTCACTGGGTGAACAAAATGTTGAGTAATCCCATTCGTCTTTGGTAGATAATGCTGTTGTTTCGATACAAAGGTTTCTGAGAATTGCATCGGTATATTCGCTGCACCCGGGTGTCTATATTGGATACTCGAATATTGCTGTTCAGTGAGTTTCAAGTTTCGATCATTTTCATCTGGCCAAAATTCTAAGGAAACATTTTCTTTAGAATCCATAGGATGAGGAACTGGTGGCATCAAAGAAACCTGCACTCCGGGCTGTTGATGTTGTTTCTGAATAATATAGCTTTCGGGTAATATTGCTCCGCCAGGAATAAATGTATTCTCCATACGCATATACGGAGAATGCTGATGTGGTTCAAATACGGCAGTTTGTTCGGTCGGTACAGCTGCTGCTGGATAATTTTGATATGTACTCGAGAGGTGAAGTATCGGTTGTTGTAATGGTCTATCTTCAGAAATTACCATTTTTTCCTTTTTTTCCTTCATACGCCTATTTTGAAACCATATTTTAATGGTACGTTCATTGAGACCCAGCGCCTGTGAAAGCTGTATGCGTCGATGTCTGATCAAGAAACAGTTACTTTTATACTCTCTTTCAAGCTGCATCAGTTGTTCCGTCGTAAAGGCGGTTCTTACCCGCTTTTTCTTTTGTAGTATTGGGAGACTCTCAGGTCTAGCCGTTGGCCATTCTGCCAATTGTCTGTTGTGCCAGTTGTACTGATTAGGCGGTAATGGTGCATATACTGGGACAGGCATACTAGCACTCTGATTCGGCAGCCACTGCGAGACCTGTAGATAATAGAAAGTAGTGTAATGTAAGTATTGTTAATCATAAATACACAAAACTTTAAAATAACTTCGACTACAATAGTACAAGATTGTTAAGTTAGGGTTCATATTAAAGACATCGACATCAAAGTCGATTCTATAACATTATGTCTTCTGGATTTTATATCATATTTATTTTCTTATAAAAATTAGAAAATCTAATACCAATTAGAAAATAAATTGAATTACAAATAAAAATAAAATACATTACCGATGGATTTGCTGGTGCTGCGAAACCATTACTTCCACTGTGAAAATTCGGTGGTATATTAGGATTCATGATTTACTAGAAAGTTGGAAAAAATAACGCACTCTTCGAGACCCGAGTAAGTTGTAACGTCCGTCAGGATTGTGTTCTAATTTATATGGCCACGTTGTTTAAGGGGTAATTAGTGAACCAGTTTTAAAGTATGAATAAGCAATTAGTAAATTATAGCCAATACTTTGTAATATTTTATTGTTTCTCAAAGTTTCAATGGTCGTTTTGAAGTGCAGTACATTGAGGCATGTTCTTATATATTATAGTCCGGTGTTGTTCCCTTTATTCTATGAACATTGTCTAACATAATGTTGGGTGACCTATAACCATCTTAATGCAATAATTTATAACACAGGATGAATAATTTTTCCTAGATAGAAAAGTATGCACGTATTACAGGCTTTCTTCTGGAGTATAGTGTAGTTTTTATCTAATTAGTCCTTAAGGAATCTGTTCACTGAAATAAGATTCAGGGTACTGTTTATAAAGCTTTAAAAGTCACTAGAAGCTGATGTAATGTGTCTCTGCTCAACCTAACGTTACTGATTTTAAAACTATGTAAAGGTAAATGAGTTTATAGGCTCCGGTATGTTAGGAAACTCTTGGTTTGGGAATGGTGTAGGGGCTGTTGGTGAAAACGGACACAAAACCCATAAAAATAGGAATTTAATTCAGTTGCAATTTCTTACAAAAAAGTCATTGTGGCCTGGAGGTTTAAGATCCCCGCTTCACATGAGTGAGGGCGTGAATTCGAAACTGACCCGGGACAAGTACTCACGTGACGTTTTCCGATTTATATAGAAGAAAGAAAATAATTGAAATCACCAACCCCTTTTGAGCAAGCGTGGTGATTAATACTCAAACCTTCTCCGTTTGAAAAGAGGCCTTTGCTCAGCATTGAACACTTAAGAATAGGCTGTTGATTTGATGTGTGTGGAATTTTTTGAAATAACTTAATCCCTATTTAATTGTGTTAGCATATTAAAGTACGTGATTTATAAATTACTCGTTAGTGATTATGGCTTTAATACAAAAGAAAATGTAAACTTTCACAATACTAGTTAATCCACTTATACATTAGCGGCTTACCGCGCAGATAATTAGTTGGAAACAGGTAATTAACTAGAATTACGTGCGTACGTATTATGGCTGTTTTCAGCAACCGCCCCTAAACTAAGAGTTACTTAGCGTGAGGGAGCTCCGAAACTAATCCCTCACTTGTACTATTAGTAACGTGACCAGACGTCCCATTTTAAAATTACAAGTCTCTTTGTCCCGGAAATGAACTCAGGAACGCAAAATTGTCCGGTTTTTTGGAAACCACGGAATTTAAATAATTGAACCTATGCTACGACCGTCCGGACGGCACGAGTAGTGTGCGACAGCGATACAGCGTCATACATACATAACTTGCTAATTTTTGACGAAGTACGGTTCGAAAAAACTTTTAGTACATACATTTTCAAATGTTGTGGTAGCCCGGAGGTTTAAGACTCCCGCTTCTCATGCATGAGAGATCGGGTTCAAAACTCACCAAACGGCAAGTACCAATGTGACTTTTTCCGAGTTATATGTACTTTCTAAAGATTATTTAGACATCATTGACAAACGGTGAAGGAAAACATCGTGAGGAAACCTGGGCTTATACTTAATTTTTAAGTTTGTAATCGCTAAACCGTATTGAGCAAACGTGGTGATTAATGATCATACCTTGTCCGTGTGAGAAGAGGCTTTGCTCAGCAGTGCACACTTATAGGCTGTTGATGATGATGATGATGATGACATATATTTATGTGCAGTTAGTAATGTTAACCTTTTTGTTGTAGGTACAAAGTGTATGCAGGTTCTATAATAGAATGTAGGCTATAAAATATCTGACTGAATTTAAATAACGAATATCCCGTTTAAAAAAAAAACATACACCCGATACTAACTTTTTTTTTGGGATAAGCCGGTAAACGAGCGGACGGATCACCTGATGGTAAGCAATCGGCGTCGCCCATGGAACATCAGAGGCGTTTTATGTGAATTACCGGCCTTTTACGGTTTAAGACATTTATTTCTCAAAAACTATTTATATGGACTTGACTGAGAAAAACAAAATATATATAAGTAGGTATAGTATGCAAACGAGAGCCCGAAATAATATACTAGTATTTATGAACAACCAAAATATTACATTACATACCGTAAAATGGGGTGAATAGGGATCGAGAGGTGAATAAGGACAGAAGAGGGGCGAATAGTTATAAGGAAATTCTTCATAGTATCGATTCACCCCTTTTCGCCGTCCAAACCCTATTCACCCCATTTCACCGTTACTTAACACATACACAATAAAGTTACTTTGAGTAGACGAGGTTAATCTTAAAAATATTGGGTCGAGAATATCAAGCATTATGTTTTTACTAATAGGAATTTGCAATAACAATGGTCTTATTAGTTGTTATCACAGATGTACAATAACAATTCTGTTATGGACAACTATTAATGGACTGCCTCGTAGGCCGAGTGGTTGCAAGTGCGACTGCCGGGCAAGGGGTCTCGGGTTCGATTCCAAAAGGTAAAGTATTACTGGGTTTTTAAAATCTTAGTAGTAGCACGGAGTCTGGAAATGTGCCCGGTATATGCAAATAGGCTCACCCCCTATTACATGAGACTCATAACATAAATAGTGAAAAGTGGGTGTTACATTTACAGTGGCATTAAGTACCATAATGTGCATCTCTGCCTAACCCGTCAGGGATAAAAGGCGTGATAGTGTCACACATTTTTAATTTGTTTGTAGTCATCATAAAATAATAATTAAGTAGGATCTATTAATATTGTATGTATGTATTGTATGTATTATATGTGTGTATGTATGTGTAAACGCAATGTATGTAAGAAGTTATGTAGTATTATTTGTTTTTTTTTAGTAATAAAGATTATTTGCTTGGTAGTAACTCCCGGAGTCCACTTCGTGAAGATTAGGCGGTATATGTATTCTACTTGGTTATCACGACACAGGTGAAACTTCATGCCTAAGTTTTACTTTTCTTTAAAAGGCCAATGGAGATTTATTCATTAAATTTAGTTTAGTACACAACATACAATTACAACTTACCAGCTACTTCCGCGCGGTGTTACTCGCTCTGCTCAGCGCCTATTTATCGTAGCGTGATATTTTAGCCTTCCTCGATAAATGGGCTATCCAACACAGAAATAATTATTCAAATCGGACCAGTAGTTTCGGAGATTAGCGCATTTAAACAAACAAACAAACAAAAAAACAAACTCTTCACCTTTATAATAATACATTATTATACTATACTTAGTATAGGTATTGTAGTATATATGTGTGATACACAGTTTTGTTCCTTCATATTGTATCTGTATACACCGTGACATTTATATCATTTCAGTCCAGAAGTAAAATGGCACTGTCTCAAAGAAATCAAATGTGAAAAAAATAGGTGTCATCACGAACTCATAGAACGTTATCAAAACATCCAGCCATATTATCTAAGAGGTATTTCTCGGCAGGTGGTACGTGCGATGCGAATAGTGCCTACAAATTTATATATAGTGTGTAAGGTGCGTAAGTAGCTAAATATTTTTTTAAACTAAAAAAATGGCATCTTCATTTTTGTGTTTTTACTACATTGAAAGTATGTACCTACTACTTATGCCAAGTTCTTTTGCCGCGGGACGAAAACGACATTTTCACGGTATACGATCCAATATAGAATCGAGTATTTTTTTTATATATAACTCATCGGAATCTAATAAACTATTTATTTACGAATATTCCAATTTACAACTTCAAGAACTTGTGAAGTTAACAATAAAATGTCTGCAATATTGAGACAATGGCACTGATAAGTTGATGTGATAACGATGACGTCACTCTAGATTTTTCTTAGAAGACTTAATTATGTCACGTAGCTCAAAAGTAGTGATTTTAGTTATGAAAATCATTTTTTATAACTTAAATCATTTTTGAAGTGACACCTTCTTTAGCGGCGTTGTACACTTTTTTATAATCTATACTTATAATAAATCTGTAGAGAGGTCAATTCTGTACATAAAATATATTTAAAAAATAACTATCAAGGGGTGATTAGGGATCGCTACTGATACCAAAAATGCAATCAGTAAAATTTTGTCTGTCTGTCTGTCTGTCTGTATGTTCGTTATGGAAACAAAAACTACTCGATGCTGGATTTCATAATTTTTAAAGATAAAACCATGAAACTTTATATTTAAGCACTTGATAAAAAAGACAGCTGGCGTGGCGTAGGACAGGGAGTATCTTCCTCTCTTTCTACGGCGCGGTGAAAATGTATGCCTGCGCCCGCTGTTTCGTTTAGGCGGCGCAGGGCGCTTACGCGAAAGTTCGTGTGTGCTTATGTGTTTAATTGAATTTTTAAATAATGAATTTGGTTTAACTATGTCAAATGATCGCCATCTTAGCACAACGAAATACAAAACTGCTATTGATTTTGGCTTGGATTGGTTAGGTTAAATAGGTTCGAATCAAAACTGTTTCCTTTCTTACTTCAATTATCATAAACCGATTGTATCAGTTTTTGAGATTGCCGATGATGGTAGTGAAAAAGTCGTCGAAATTATGGATGGAAGTTGATTTTTCAGAATGATTAGAATAAAAGATAGTACTTTTATTCTG